ACACTCCGCGAGTGCCTTGAGCAGTCGCCCACCACTACCACCACTGCCACTGCCACCCAGCCAGCGCCGAGTCTTGACTCTCTCGCCAGCTCTCTCACGGGCCTGTCCCTCTCCAAAAGCCAGGAAAAAAATTAGTTTTCTGGTATTTTGTCTTTTACCCCAAACAAGCAAATGGTGCCCCCCCCTTTTCTGCGTTCCACACCTTCAGGTGTTGTGTGTCCATTTAGTTCATATTTTATTTATTCTTTCAGGCTTCCCGCTGTGTGGTGCTCGAGAACATGGTGGGTCCTGGTGACCTTGATGACTACCTGAAGGCGGAAGTCGAAACGGAAGCTGCCAAGTATGGCCATGTAGAGCGCGTGGTCATTCATCAATGCAGGGAGGAGGCCGGAGAGGCGGTGGTGGTCAGTCTTCATTCTCTTTCAGAGCGCTGCCGGTACGGCACAACTCTCTGTGTATTTTATTATTATTAATGTTTCTCATTATTACCACCAATAAACAGAGGCGCAAGTGGCACAGACGTCATTCCATGGTCGCTGGTTCGCCGGGCGGATGATCAAGGCGGCGTTCTACGATGAGCAGCTGTTCCTCGCAGGCGACTACACCAGCACCTGCCTGTCGGCCACCTCCATGGATTAACAGAGTTAGTTGCCTGCAAGTTCAAAATGAGCAAAGGGTCCAGGGGGAACCTGTAGATCCTTTTTCGGGCCTGACAAGGCAGGGAAACTTAAAGGGGCAATAAGTAGTCTGGCCAATGGCAAGTACCGGCGATTCGGGCCTTCCACCCCGGCTCGCCGGTGATTGCAAGTCCTTAAAACCAGCTTCAAAACAACCCACTTCATTCACCACAACCAGCAACCACACCAACCCAACTGCGACCATCAACATGACCAGCACCGTGACCAAGCCCACCCTCACCTATTTCAACCTGTTCGCCCGCGCCGAGGTGCCCCGCCTGCTGCTCGAAGACGCCGGCGTAGACTACGACTTTGTGCCGGTCACCAACTGGCCAGAGACCAAGGCCCAGCTCACCGCCGCCGGCAAGCTCGCCTTCGGCCAGGTGCCACTCTACGAGGAGCCGGGCCTCACCCTGGTCCAGTCCAACGCCATCGCGCACTACCTGGCCCGCAAGCACGGCTACAACGGCACCAACCCCACTGTACGTGTCCTGTGCGCGTGCGCGTGTGCGTGTGCGCGTGTGCGTGTGCGTGTGCGTGTGCGTGTGCGTGTGCGTGTGCGTGTGCGTGTGCGTGTGCGGTGAAGCTCACAGAAAAAATGATGGGAACAGGAGGAGGCACTGATCGACCAGGCCAACGAGGGGCTCGTGGACACCTTCAACGCCATCGCCAAGTCTATCATAAATCAAAGAAACCAAAAAAAATCAAAAAGTTGTTTGCCGATTCGCTGAAATGGGAAAAAAACAACAAAATTCAAACAAAGCCAAAAGAGAACCAAGATGGAGACAACACTGGGCACAGAGCTACTTTCACGGCCAATTATCTCCTTGACTAAAGACACACATGGTGCTTTTCCCTTCTTCTTAAATAATAATGCAACGTTGCTTTCTTTATTAGAATTATTTTTATTCTATTCATTTAGGGCAACTAATTTTGGTGTGCTGGCCCAACAGTTGGGCCGAGCGTGAGGGTGCTGCAGATGAACGTGTTGGCCGACCGCTTGGCTCCACCGTCAGCCTTCCCCCACACCGACCCTGCCGTGCTGACGTGGGCGCACCG